GTGCATAGTCTGGGCTAGGTAGTGCATTACTGATATATATATATATATATATATATATATATAATTATTTTTTTTTTTATGTTTTATTGTATTTTTTTTGTGATAAAATGTATGGATATTATTTTTATAGTACCAAATCTTTAAAGGTATCATTGAATTGTCATTGTATTTTTAATGCATTGTTTGTAAAGGCTCTCTATTTTTATTCTATTTCCAGTACATGCTACAGGTCCGTCAATTCATTTCCCAAGCATGTGTTTTAAAGGAATTGTGCATTTTTAATGTTGCCCTTTATGCCTTATTAAACCAATTACTTGCTACTAAATTATATTTTAAAATAAAATGTTTGCTTAGGGACATGACCACCCTCCCTCCCCCTGGCAGTACCTATGCTCTTTGGTTTTTAACATTCACTTTCCAGTGACTTTAATGAGGTTTACATAGAAGTTCATAATTTTCAGATTTTTGATGGTGTTCATGGAACCTCCCATGAATCAAACCCAGACTGAACCCCAGATCAAAGCAAATCTGTTCATCACTATCCCCCTCAATTTCCTTCTTTTAAATCACCCAGTTGCATGCTTTTTTGTAGAAAATGTTTAAGCTTCTCTACTGATGCACATGATGCCTAGCATATTCCACTGTGAAGCAGACCTTTATGAAAATGAAAGCTTTGCTCTATTGAAATATCCCGAAAGTCAATTTACTTGCAAAGATACATTAAAAATATGTCTTAAACTATGTGTAGCTAAACAAAATAAAAACCACTTGCATTGGCCCTGGCTTCCAACGCTGCCCAAGAAAGAAGGCAATATCAGATGGATTTCCAGAACCAAACTATCCCAGGAGTCAGCGATGTGGCATGGTGATGCCACCCCCTCCCCCCTTCTCCAAAGCATCAGAAGTTAGGTGCTGAGTAAATGCTTCCTTCTTTTGGTAAAACATTGATTTTGTTTGATTTTGGGAGTTTGGGGCTTTTAGTTGAGCATGCCTTCCACTTTAATGAAAGGCTCCATTTTCTAAATAAGGCCTATAAAAAAAAATGCAGCCAGCAACACTTAAGAAATATACCCTGGGAAAAAAACACACGTGGTCTGTTATCACTGTAGTGCTTTTAACCTCCTTAGCGGGTTTCCCGAGTGTAGCTCGGGGTAAAAATTTCAATACCAAGAGCGGTAACCCTGAGCTACACTTGGGCTTACCATGCGGCGTTGCTCAGGGGGTCCCTGCAGCACTTACCTTGTCCTTCGCTCCCGCGATGTGTCCCCTGCAGCGTCCCCGGCCATCTCCTCCGGCTGATGCCAGCATCCGGCTTCCGTGTTTCGGTCCCTGTGATGTCGGGACGTACGGGCGCCGGAACAACGGGAAATTTGAAATTTTTTAAAAATTTCATTTTTGCTGTCATTGCTGTTTCAATGCATTTCACATACATTTTGTCCCTACTGCTTTGTCCTGTGCCCTGCCTGCATTTTGACTGTTCTTTCTGCCTGGAAACTTAGAAAAGTCCATGGCGTCCAAAACACGTCCCTTTACGTCAAAAGCGGTTTTAGAACACCAATAGTAAATCAGAACCACTTGCAGAATTGAGTGATAATGATTTGTGGGGAAATTCGTCATCAGACACTGAAAACGATTTTGCGACTTTGCTCAGCGATGTGCGAATTTGCCTCTGTATTTCAAATTTCAGTGTTTTTGGTTTGATTATATTATTGAATTAAATTTATTATTATTATATTATTATTTTTTATGATTATTTATTAAATTATAATTTATGATTTCGTGTTTCAAGTTTTATCATATCCGGAATGTTTACTAGACTCTTGTTCGTACAGATTTCAGCGAGTTATTCCTAAAAATTACAGCCTACAATAAAAAACTACATATTTCCATGCAAAAAAAATGGTACCGCTACCGCTTTCAGCACAAAATATCGGAAAGAATCGTACCACCGAGGAGGTTAAGGAGGGACATCAGCAGCATTTAGATGTAACAAAAATGAAAAAAAGATAAAAACCCTCTCCCATTTTGATCTATTAAAATGCTATGCTTCCAAGCAGTCAAGAACTCTTTTACCAAGCATTCAAGAGACCATTCAGGTGTAGAAAGGTAGCACAGATTTACAGGAGCAATTATGTCTGTGCACTAATCTTCTGCTCCATAAGTGGCTCATCAGGATATAACCTCTGCAGTTACATTGTCTCCCATCTCCAGCATAAAAAATTCCTGTGGTTAAAGCACACCCAGCATTTTTACATGTCAACTTGTTTTTAATAGTAATTTTCAATATTTTTGAATCTGTTGATTGTTTTTAATTCAAATTATAATCCTGCCATAAAGGTACCTGTACAGGCACTTCCTGTTATGAGGTGACAATGCCTTGTCCTTGTCTCTTTGGTTTGCTGCCACATTGTCACCCTGGTTCTAAAAGAGACTCTCAGGGTGCAGTCACATCCAAGCAGAGCGGTTTTCAGGCGATTTTATTTAAAAGGTTTGCAAACATACACAACCAGTTTAGAAGTGTACAAGCATTTTACATGTGTATTTAAGATTCAGATGTGTTTATTTTTTAGCCTATTTTTTAGCACTGGTGGGGGGGGGGGGGGGGATTAGGGGTGGAGAGCTGCTATTTGGCCTGAAAACACATTACAAAACACCTGTAAAACGTGCATTTTGTCAAAAATGCTCCAATCTACCTGAAAAGTAGCTCATTAACTTAATCACTTGACCTCTGGAGGGTTTTACCCCCTTCATGACCAGACCTCTTTTTGCTATTTAGCACTACGCTACTTTAACTGGCAATTGTGAGGTCATGCAACCCTGTAAGCAAATTACGTTTATATCAATTTTTTCACACAAATAGAACTTTTGTTTGAAGGCATGATATTTGATCACCACTGGGTTTTTATTTTTTATTAGATAAATGAAAATGGAGTGAAAAGTTTGAATAAAAAATTATATTTTCTACTTTCTGTTGTAAAACATATCCTAAAAAATTAAATTAAATTTCTTCATAAGTTTAGGCAAAAATATAGTCTTCTACATGTCTTTGGTAAAAAAAGAAAATTTAATTTACGTCCTTTTTTTCTGACGAATTGAGCTTTCAGCAATCAGCAACTTTTAGCGGGAATGCAGCAGGCATTCTGACACTGGGTGGGAACTAACTTGGTGTCACTGACATCCCCAATGACACCAATACAGTGATCAGTGCTAAAAAACAGCACTGACACTGTACTAATAACACTGGGCAGGAAGGGGTTATCTGAAATGTGATCAAAGGGTTAACTGTGTGTACTTTTTTTACTAGGGGGCGGGGGTGTGTGTGCTTCACTGTAAGCACACTGATCGTGATATCAGCAGTGTGCCCGAGCTGACAGGGAGGAAGACTGTTTGTAAACAAATCAGTCTTCCTCCCCATCGGTGATTATCAGTAATCACAGGGCGCCAATGGGTAATCACCGGCGGGACCCGGTGATTGACATCCGTGGCCGCAAATGGCGGCGCGGGCAGGGCGCTCGCACGTGCAGAATCATGTATATATATATATATATGTGATTTGTGCACCCATGCTGCCGTATAGCAGCATATGGTATATACTGTATATTTGAAAATTGATCAATTCTGATGTATTGATGGCTTATTTAATTTCTTGAGGCCCTAAAAATGCCAGGACAGTACCCTTTTTGGAAAGTAGGCAATCTGAGGTATTTAGTAAGAGGCATGGTGTCATTTTTTTAAAGTTGTAATTTTTTGTCAGAATTTGTTTAAAAAGTAAGAAATTAAATACACGTTTTCACATTTTTTTTACATGCTGTCACTAGCACAATACAGTGTCATCATGTGACTGGTGTGATAGTGATCAGGGAAACTGACTGGTGACAGTATGTTAAAAAAATAAATACAATTTCAAATATTTTTTTATTAATTGTCATCATAGTAGCACTGTACTACTCTGGGAAAGTTGATCAGGGATTTTTTTTTCTCTTACACTTTCATTACTTTTACTTTGATTGTAATGATAATCACTGTAACAGCAATGTTTTGGATTGTCATGAATAGGTTACATTCATAACAGCAGTGAATACTAGTGATCTGTGATTGGCTACAGCTAATCATATGGTACAGAGTTCTGTGATTGGCCCAGGTACCATATGACAGCTGTAAGCCAATCACAGCATCACTGTATAGGAAGAACTGCTGCCATGAATGAGATTCATTCAGGACAGATTTGTTGACATTGTGATCATGCAATCACATAATCCCTAGGCAGCTCAAAGCAGCTGAATACTTGGAGACTCAATCCGCTGTGTCCAGTGGACACAATGGGACAGGAGACCTGTGCGCCCCTAACCTGGAACAGGCTGGCTGACGTACAAGAATGTCGGCCAGCCTGCGCATTCCACCTACCGTAAATGTACAGTCGGTGGGAAACAAGTGGTTAATACTACTAAACTTTATTTAGTTAGGGTTTACACTTACTCAAAATAGAAGTCTTTCTTATCTCTCTTTATTAATTGTTACCGGTACATACAGTAAATCCTATATTTGATTTACATGTTAAGGGTAATGCGCTTTATATTTCAAATAAATATTTTTGTATATATAATTCTTGAATTTTTATAACATATTTCCCAAATACCAAAGCAATAATATATAAATAAAAGAGATGAATTTTATGAGCCAGCAGTGAAATAATATACTGCATCCTCCTCTTCATGTTTACAGTATTATCTCCATAGTAAAGGCATGTCTTTGCAGCTATTTATAGTAAGCCCACAGATTATATTCTTTCACCTTTTTAAAGCATATTACAATGTATTATGAGGTGTTGTTGAAGGGATGGTTCCAATGAAAAGGCCATGAAAAAGCAGCAAAGTTTAAATCCCATATCCCAAAATGTGTTAAATGTACTATATTGTCAAACGTATTGGGATACCCCTCCAAATCATTGGATTCAGGTGTTCCAATCACCTCCATGGCCACAGGTGTATAAAATCGAGCACCTAGGCATGCAGACTGCTTCTACAAACATTTGTGAACAAATGGGTTGCTCTCAGCAGCTCAGTGAATTCAAACGTGGTACCATGATAGGTTGCCACCTGTGCAATAAGTTCATTCATGAAATTTCCTTGATACTAAATATTCAACTGTCAACAGTTAGTGGTATTATAACAAAGTAGAAGCAAATGGGAACAGCAGCAACTTAGCCACGTAGTGGTAGGCCACGTAAAATGATGGGGTTAGTGCATGCTAAAGCGCACAGTATGCAGAAGTCACCAACTGTCTGCAGAGTTAATAGATAAAGACCTTCAAACTTCATGTGACCTTCAGATTAGCACAATAACAGTGTATAGAGAGGGTTTTCATGGCCCAGCAGCTGAGTCCAAGCCTGACATCACCAAGTGTAATGCAATCCGATAGACCTGTCTGGGTTTGGCAGTTGCAAGGAGAACTGTACTTGCCTGATTGCATTGTGCTAAGTGTAAAGTTTGTGTCACGTACCTTGGTTGAAGGCTGAGTTGACAAGAGGGTTTTCCTTGCGGCTTTGGTCGTGATGACAGAGGTACAAGGCTCAAAGAATCACAGGTGCTGACAGATTGATAACAGGTGACTGTCACAGTCAGGGATGTAGTCAAGGTGAGCCAGGGTAATAGACAGTGGGACAGCAGAGTGGTCAGGAGTAAGGCTGGAATCAGTACCAGGTTAGCAAGCCCAGGTCAGAATCCTAATCCACAGAGCAAGGGCAGGAGCAAGCAACAGAAGATCAATCAGTACAAACAGGAACACTGGAACACGGGTCACAGGAAGCTGAAGAACATCCATTGATTAGTACACAGCAGCGTCTCCTTCAAACAGGCAGCTTGGCACCAATGCAAGAAGACGTGTGCGCAAATGTGGGCTGACACATAGAAATGCGCCTATCTGTCAGTGCGTGCTGGATATTAGCCTGGGCTTGTCTGTGTTCATGAGCATTAGCTGCACAGGAATGAGCAGTAGTTGCACAAGAATTAGCATTAGCTGAAGAAGAATAGGGAATATCCGATTGACTCTCGGGGGATCAGAAAGGAATTTTTTTCCATGCAGGAGCAAATTGGATGATGCTTTGCTGGGTGTTTTGCCTTCCTCTGGATCAACTGTGGGTGTAGGATTTAACTTTTTTTTTTTATGGTTGAACTGGATGGACTTTTGACTTTTTTCAGCCATGTAAGAATTTGCATGAGCTGCAGAAGAATTAGTATGAGGTGCAGAAGAATTAGCATTAGCTGCTCTAGTTTCCTGACAGTTTGGTGGAGGGGGGATTATGGTGTGGGGATGTTTTTCAGGGGTTGGGCTTGGCCCCTTAGTTCCAGTGAAGGGAACTCTTAAGGCGTCAGCATACAAAGACATTTTGGACAATTTCGTGCTCCCAACTTTGTGGGAACAGTTAGGGGATGGCCACTTCCTATTCCAACATGACTGCGCACAAGTGAATAAAGCAAGGTCCATAATGACATGGATGAGCAAATGTGGGGTGGAGGAACTTGACTGGCCTCCACAGAGTCCTGACCTCCACCCAATAGAACACCGTTGTGGGATGAATTAGAGCGAAGACTGCGACCCAGGCCTTCTTGTTCGACATCAGTGCCTGACCTCGCAAATGCAGTTCTGGAAGAATGGTCAAACATTCCCATAGACACACTTCTAAACCTTGTGGACAGCCTTCCCAGAAGAGTTGAAGCTGTTATAGCTGCAAAGGGCGGGCCAACTCAATTTTGAACCCTACGGACTAAGACTGGGATGCCATTAAAGTTCATGTGTGTGTTAAGGCGGGCGTCCCAATACTTTTGGCAATATAGTGTATGTCATTTTACTCTAATGGCTCCATAGACTAAATAACACTTATGTTACTTTTATGTTTGTATGTATCTGTGCTTCATGCAGATTGTTATGCTCAATTTGCTGTCTGTCACAATAGAGGATGCACTGTTTTTGAAGCTCATCTTCAATTTAATAGACACAAGGCTGGAAGTTTGCAATGTATGGAGAATGGTCTCAATGTAGTATAGTATAAAAAGAAATCAGGTCCACTCATAATTGGTGCCAGCCGGTACTACTGCTGCTTGCATCTTTGGGGGTTTGCTATTTTTTCATTAAAATAAAAAATAAAAACACTATTTACGACTAAACTCTTTGGTTTTGGGCCTGTGGGATCAATTTCAGGCACTTTATCAAAATTATCTAAGAACTGATGCCAAATATTATGTTGTAACTGGTACAGTTTTAAGATTTTATGTTGCAAATGCCAGAAACTTTGGAAATGTCAGCATGAATATTAATATCTCTACAGCGCCTAGAATTGGGAGATCATCTACTTGTTTAATGTTTTCAAGTGAAACTATTAGAGTTGGAAAGCAATAAACATCTGTAATGATAAAATGAATGATTATTATCTTTAGAACAGGATCTAGGGTAGTCCTATGGGACCCAATTCCTCAATGCAAGAGCCAAGGCAGACCTCTCCAATAGTTGGAGGTTGTGGTAAAAGCTGTGCAACTATAGTGGAACTATAACATAATGCTGCATGATGTACTGTACATATAAAAAACTAGAGGTTACTGCTGTTTGTGCAAGTCTGCTTAAACATCCTGTTTTTATGTGTGATCTCTTCAAAACCCAAGAAAAAAAGGCTTCAAAAAGCTCCAGCACTAAGCATCAGATTGAAGTTCTTTGAGTACATTTTTTGGGATGTGAATCTTTAGTTTGGTTGGACTTCATGATGTTCATGGTAGATAAGACTGTATGTTAAGTAATTTCCTCTCCTGTTCTGCATGTAAGAGCAGACATCCTACATATTTGTTTAACAATATGAACCACTTTTTCTGGTCTCTTTTTTCCAGCAAGTTTTTAAAGCAGTCTCAAGACATTCATTTGAAGATAATCCAACAAAGGAGATAGATCTGTGTCATCCGACTTCTGTCAGGGCTTCTATTCTTTTTCTGCTTATTCTACACATTTTCTCCATGCTTTCTTCATATTATTAAGTTAATGGATGACTAAAGCACACAGCAATAGGCCTAGTTCTTACTGATATTCTGCAGTGCCTTTGTAGGCCATCAAAGAACTTTCAAAATAGTGAGATTTCAATATGAAAGCATTTGGAGATTACAAGAATGTGTCAGCTTTGAGTAAAGGCAGCTTAAATTCCTCTGCAGAGTGGTCTGTTATCATTTTAAAACTTTTGATCAATGATATTTTACTTTTGATAGCTCTCCAGATCCACTAAAATATACATTATAAGTTGTAGTGAAGCAACTCGCAATTCACAAAAACATTTAACTATAGTTTTTCATAATAATGCATTCAACATTTGAGGCCCATTTACACAGTATGTAGCTCACAAGACAACTTGTGGTTTTATCTGTCATTGCAAAGCCAACAATCTATAGTAACTACACTTGAGAAATCCATATGTTAAGAATGTAAATCTCTTATAATTAATTAACTTGAATTACATCACATCACATCCAAATAAAAAAATATGAGTTGGCATAACATTGCCTTACTGGTTAGTGTTTCTGCCTTGTAGCACTGTGGTGCTTAGTTCATTTCTTGGTCAGGACAATGTATGGAGCGTGCATGTTCTCTCTGTGCTTGTGTGAGTTTCCTTTAAGTACTCTGGCTTCCTCCCATGCTGCAAAGAAAAGCCGGTGTGTTAATTTGCTCCTTTCCAAATTAACAATAGTTTGTATTCATGTGAGATAGGGACTTAAGATAGTAAGCCCCTTGGTGGTAGATATGACAAGTGCCAGTGTCAGACCCCTGGACTTTTCGCCAACTTGTGACAAAAGTTTGGTCAACCTCACACTGCGCTGTCACTTATGCAACAATGCCACTCAGCCTCACACTGCACAAAGATTTTGGTGGACCATAATCTAGGTGCAAACACACTGAGAATGATTGTCCTGGGTTGAGTTAAAAAAGCAAATAACTGTTTAACCACTTGTCCTCCAGAAGATTTACCCAGCTTCATGACCAGACCATTTTTTGCTACACGGCGATGCATACTTTAACTGACAATTCCTCGGTCATACAACACTGTACACAAATGGAATTTATATAATTTTTTTTTCACACAAATAGAGATTTCTATTGGTGGTATTTGATCAATGCTGTTTTTTTATTTTTTGTGCTATAAATGAAAAAAGACTAAACGTTTAAAAAAAAACTCTATTTTTTTAATTTTTGCTATAAAACATATCCAATAAAAAAATGAGAAAAATATAATTTCTTCATAAATTTAGGCCAAAATGTATTCTGCTACGTCTTTGGTAAAAAAAAATCCCAATAAGTGTATAGAGCGGCTGCCCTGTTGAAGTAAAACTGTGGTTAAACTGCCACCACCGACTTTTACAGAAAAGTCAGAAACTTTCACAGTATTAGCAATAACAATTATGAAAAATTAACATCTGTGCACACACCTGTACACCTGCAGTTCTATTTTGCCCCTCCTAGCACACACCCTCTTTCCCCTCAAAAGTTCAACCCTCTCACCCAAATCCCCCCCTCCTAGCAATATTTCCTGTCTCCTAGCACAAAACCCCCTAAATTTCTTTCTCCTAGTACAACCCCGCCAAATTACCCTTCCCAGCACAAATCCTTCCTCCCCACCCAAATCCCCCCTCATAGCACAACCTCCCCCCCCCCCCAATCTCCCCTCCTAGAACAATTTCCCCACCAATCCCCTCTCCTAACACCAATTCCTCCTCAATCCCCTCTTCTAGCAAAAATCCCCCCAATCCCCTCTCTTAGCACAAATTCCTCCCAATCCCTTCGGCACAAATTTCCCCCACTATCCCCCATCCTAACACAAATCCCTAATCCCCTCTCCTAGCACAAATTTCCCCCAATCCCTCCTCCAAACACCAGTCCTCTTCCTGCAATCCCCCCTCCCTAGGACTAATTCCCCCAAATCATCCTCTAGCTAAAACCTCTTCAAATTACCCTTTCCAGCAAAAAATGCTCACACCTTACCCAAACATCCCCCCTCCACCCTTTTAGCACAAATGCCCCCCCAAACCTCCCTCCTACTCCTAGCACATATCCCCCTCTCTTACCACAAATTTCCCACTCCCCCCTTGTGCAAATTCCACCCCCAATCCCCTCTCCTAACACAAATCTCTCCGATGTCCTCTCCTAGCAAAAATCCCCCCCATCCGCCCTCCCAGCATCAATCCTCTTTCTTCGATCCCCTCCCCCAGCTAGGACAAATTCCCCCCAGTCCCTCCTCGAGCTAAAACCCTTCCAAAATACCCTTCCCAGCATAAAATCATCCCACTTAACGAAATCCCCCCCTTTTAGATCTGGTCTTGGCAGTGAGTAGGGAAACCAGCGGTCGTGGCTGTATCCTAGGTAGCAGTGTGCCCTAGGTGGCTGCTTAGTTCACCTAGTGGTAGCACTGGACTTGACAGTAGTGCTCTTCAAGAGACAGGGATTCACTGAGTTTGCA